TCTTTTCTGAAGAATAGGATGGTAGTGTAGAGTGAAAGCAATAACTCCTACCTATTGCAGGAAAAGATCCCTTAGTACATAAAATGTCCAGAAGTTTTGATATATACTTCCTTCCTTATGATCTGTCCTTATGGTCCAGGTATCTTTTTTGATAAGCACTACACATATATAAAACAAATCACAGAGAATACTGTCTTTATGTAGCTGTGTGCTCAATCTGTGTGTTTAAAAAAAATAACATTAATTTTCTTTCTTACAGTCTGTTATGTGTGGCTTAGAAACAGGTATGTACAAACAGAAAGTTTTTAAAAAATTCAGTTTCCAATCTGCGATTGCTACAATAAACTAAAATTGGCCTATTTTCTTTACGTACCTAGAGCTTGTGTTGCGACACCCTCCTTTAAATTTTTTCTCTCTTTCTTGCTGTCTCCATGACAAAACAGATTCCAGTTAAATTAGTCTTCCACTTCTCAGTTCTCCCAGGAGCTTACCCTCCCTTCTGAGACAGATTTCTATTCGCGTCCCAACTTCTCCCTGGCAGAATCTTCGGCTAAGGATCATTGCCCAGTTCTGCAGGAGAGGAGGAGCTCCGTGTCTGTTGCATAACTTCAGGTCTGTCTAAAGGAACGCTGCTGTTCTGACTGTTTCAGTTCATTGTGTTGCCAAAGACACAGAATTGGTTCGCAAGTCCCAGGGATATTGCATTTTGCAAAGTACGCATTTTGTATACTTTTAAAAAGTATGGCTTAGATTATTTTACAATAAATGTTTTCACCTTATGTATAATGAGATATGTATATACTGGTGCAGAAATCATCCCCCATGCGTGATCTGCAAACTTATGCTTGTACTATGACTTTATCTGCTTATATCATATCTCTTGATTTTTCTCAGTCATTGCAGCACTGAGACAAATAACTTTTGTCTAGCTGAACAAAAAAGAGAATAAACATCAGGTTTTTCATTCTGTGATTTCTAGAGAGAGATTTTTCTGGGTACGTGGGAGAAGAATGGCTTGTTATTCATAAACTGATACTGAATTTCAGAATTCAAAGTGAGATTTTTTAATTTTTTTTCCCCCCCCTCAATGCTAGGTAAACATGCAATCCAGAGACTGATGGACAGATGGGGATATGTTAGCTATGATCAGCCTATTTGAAGCCCTGGCTGTATTTCTTCACAAGGTTCTGCTCCTAAGCTGAGAAAGTGGTACAGCATTGCACCAGCAGATCTTCATAACCTCAGTGTTGTACTGTTTGAAAAAGAAGTTGACACACAGTTTCAGTCCTCTTTCCTGAATATAAATTGGAGTCTTAGCATAGATGGTAAGTTTGTTGTCACAGTGGCTGGTGGAGATCGTAAGGAGAATAAGAAAATTAACCGTAGAAGTGGTGACAGAAAATAAGACAAAACTACTTTTCATGGAGCAGGAGCTAAATAGGCTAGTACCTACTTTGAATTGTGCTTTCTAAAATATATTGTACTTAGGGATTAATTTATGCATATTTTAATAGACTTTAGTGAAAATGCACACAGATCATGCATTTTCTAAAATTTTAAATATCCATTTGAATTCACAGGCTGTAAAGATAATGTAATGAAATACAGCAAAAGTTGTATTGAAATGGGTAAGTGCTATGTGTATATATAGACATCATACTGAAGGGGGAAAAACTACTTCAGAAGTGTTCCACAGTGTCATCTTCGCCTGAATATTGAATAGGGTCTAAAATCTACTTCTGAATCTTTCCCTATATTGTACTCATGGCCTTAAAATAGGAATTTTGGGTATTCTGTACAGGTTAATTTAGATAATAATGCCATATTTTATTCTGTGAATATGGAATTGGGAAATGTTCTTGTTTTCTCTGAGATGATGAATTTAGTCTAGTTGCTGCTTGGTACACTATGATGTGAACAAAAGTACCTTTAGTAGACTAAACAAATTCTTTGCAGATTTGAGCATGCAAACATGTCATTAATACTAAGTACTACTGTTTCTAAATTTGTTGGATGTTGAATGGGATAGATATTGTTACCACATACATTTTCAAGCAACAGTGCCTGAATTCAAACTGCAGGGGGTCCCTGCTGGAGCTAACACTTCTGACTTGCCCCTTCAAAAGCAGGAACACTGTTAGGTCATGAGGTGCCATCTGCAGGGGGTGTGGTGCCTATCATAAGCACAGTCACAGCAGAAATCCATTTCATCACTTAAATAGCTAATAGCAATTTTAAATTGATATATTTTCAACCTTTAGGAAGTTTGTGGAATCCAAGTATAACTTTGTAAAATAGAATCAAAATTAGAAGTGAATTTTACAACAAGCAGTCTTGGACTTGAATATTTAATATTGCTTGATGAGCATCAAAAGTATGAAATACTTCTTGGAAAAAAATGTAGAAGCAAAGGTAACTTTCAGTTAAATCATAATAAATTGAAGGCATAGGTCTCTAAGTTCTCCTTCTGTATTGGCACAGCAGGAGGCATATACTTCCACTGAACTTAAATCAGCAGAGCTGAGGAGATCGTCTAAAACAACTGTGGCTACTTTCAGAAGAGCCACGCTCCACTGTTTATGTTATTTTACTTTTTGAGATTATATTCTTTACTTCTGAGAATGTTTTTAAACAATATTATTTCTTCAGAATGAGATGAATTAATGAACATGAGAATGTAAGAAAATATATAGTAACTAGTTAATTAGGCTTCACAAACATAAACCACACCTTTCTTGTAATTCTTACTAAGATATTCACCTTTTTGTTACATTAGACTGGTAGATTTAAAGATAAATGTATGCACTATCTGTAATTCTGATGTTAAGAATACAGAATTGTTTTAAAGCCTATTAAATGCTATTAAATATTAAATGTGATTTAACTTAGCAATGACTCCTTTTGTGATAAATGTCTTTGAATTTTTTTCTCCCTCTCATACCCGCCTTCAGGATTTAATTTATTAGATAAATGAAACTAGAATTTCTTTGAGGATACCAGGGAGTGATGAGAGCACTGGTATTTCTGTAGAGGTAAGTAATATTTTTTATTTATTTTCAGTGAAAAGAGTATTTGTTTTTAGATAGTTAATTGATGTGAAGAGTTGTACTAATTCTGACTAACAAATCAGACACAAGCATAGTGCTGTATATCACTTAATTTTTTTCTTATTAAATTTGTTTTTTACTTAGGAATTAGTAGGTATCAAGCTTCTTCTCATTGTGGTAATTTAAGTCTATATTGTTATGTAGAGTGTCGCTGTGCTATAAAGCTTAAAGCAAGCATACCTGCTATGTTTACACTGAATTTTCTTAGATTCTTACTTATCTCATGAATCTCTCTTTGATTTTGTTAGTTGTATCAGTTGTAAGGAAACTATGTTTCAAACAAAGCTGGTAACAGTTTTAGGAAGCACAGTACTGTCAGAAGCCCAGACTGTAGTTCAGAAGGAAATAAATTAAAGGAATTAATCTGTGCAGAAATCACATTTAACTGTGTATTGGAATTTTTCTACTTTTTTTTTTTTTTTTTTTTTTTCCCTCCCAGATAATTTTTTGCTTTCCCAGATATGGATATGACTACCTAAGGCCTACAACAAAACCTAACAAACAGCCTGCACATGAAAGCCAATGGTTAGTTGAGTATTTGTCATTCTTGATCCAATATTCAATGCAAATTAAACAGAAACTGTTCAGTGTTTTCTGCTGAATTACGTATCATATATATTCAGCAGATTTTCCCCTGTATGTTTACAAAAACCTGGGAAAATAAATGTTTTGGTACACAGATATTTGAATGTCAAAACTCTGTTAAAAAGCAGAGTGCTTTGGATCTAGGTGACTTTATGTATGCTGGCCTTGACAAAGTTTGCCTTTCATCTTCCTCCTCTTAAAATTTAAAGTTTTATGCTTAATACAGTAATGCTGCAGTTCAGGAATTATTTTGTACCTCTTGCTCATGAGAACAACTGATGAGATAGATGTCAGGCAGCAGGAGGGGGTACATTCCAGAAACATGGGAGGAACTTGGAGGGAGCAGATTCAGGCTGATGTCTTGTTTCTTTCAAAGTAGGGAAGAAAATTAATTAACTTAGCCAACAGGTCTGTAGTTCTCAGTGTGATTATTAACCATCTTGCATTACCTTACAGCACAATTTCCCTTCCATGTACAGACATTGGAAATACTTGTTTCAATAATTAATTAACTGAAGACAGTTTTTTCAGCTGTGCAAGACTTGTTTCAGAGTGATTGTGCTTTCTCTTTTAGAGATCCTCACAATCAATTCAGCTGCAAGATTTGTGTTTTCTCCATGCTGCTCTACTTGTGGCAGTATGTATTATTGCTGCAGTCGCTTGAGTCATCACAGATCAAGGTAAGAGTTCTCACTTTTTTGAACTTTAGTATTTCTGCAGTTCCTGTTCTTTGAATTTTGCTGCAGGCATACATTTAGGTGAGATAAGATCAAATGAAAGAGACTACCTTTTAGGTATCATTGTAATAGACTCTCTCTTATGTTTATTTAGGAAACTCCAGATGTGGCTACGTTTCTGTTTTAGTTGAAATTGGTATGGAGCTTTTGAAGGGAATTGCCCACTGGCCTCCCTACGGTTTGGTTTGCATTGCAAGGTGGTTGCAGGGTGCAGCCTTGAATGTCTCAGATGAAATGAAACTGGAAGGTGTACTCTAACGAATCTAACATAGCCCAACCACCAACGGGCACGCAGGCCAGTGGACTGGACTAGGGCTGGGCTGCAGTAACTCCCCCTGAAATATTTAGTTCAGAAACCTGTTCCTTGGCCCCAGTTGTTTTGCTCTGTGGTCTCTGCCATTCTACCACATTACCTGCTAATGTAGGCCTAGCCTTTTTCCTTTTTTTTTTTTTTTTTTCCTAAATGGAGAATAAATATCTAATCTCTTAAACCCTAGTCAAAACAGTGAACCATTTAGAATGTGGACAATTTTTGGTTAGCTTTTCCCTCATTAACAAACATCAACTGAGGTCACATGAGCATTTTTGCAGTTTATTTTGTTTGCTTAGCACTTTTTCACAGTATTAGCTTTGGAGTTCCAATACTCCCAGTGCTGCATGTGATGTTTCTTGTAAAAGTATGAGAAACAACAATAGCATGGGAAATATGTTCACTCTTGCAGTTAACCTATTCTGCAGTGACATGACAAATCAGTCCTCTGCACAAAAATATATGACAGTTTCTTTCAATGAGGTGAGTTCACAAGACATTTTGCCAAGGGCTCCGAACTTCCGTCTGAAATACCGTCTTATGTAGGACATTGAGCACTTCTGCAGAGACCTTTCTGCTTCGTGCAGTGAGGTACATGGCAAGAAATAGGAAAGTAACAGTTATCTGGATACTGAGCCAAATGAGTAAGGCCAAAAGTATCGATAGCTGAACAAACAGGAGGGCGCTGTAGCTACTGGGCCATATTTAATACAAGCTTACTTAGCTGAAATAAATCCTAAACAAAACCTTTCTAAGTTGTGTCAAACTGAGAACTGACTTCCATAATAAGAAATTAAATTATAAGAAATTTGCACTCAAATAAAACAGGCAGAATTGGTTGTGTAAATACCAGAACACAGTCCATCAAGTAATTTAGAAGTACTGCTCTATCCAGTGTAGAGTTTGTGAAGTTAACTGATGAGAGCCACAGCTGCAGTTAAGCACACAGGTTTTCCAACATGACTTAAAGGCTGGTTTCGTGATGCTGTTATGTTGAGTTACAGTGTGCATTTAGAGCATCTTTGATATTGTGTTGTATGCATAATGTAGCTTTTAAAGTAGAGTAATTTACCACACCCTTCAGTGTGTCCAAGTGTCAGCACCCACTGATGTGAAATTGTGAAATATTTGCTGTGGAGAACCATTTGTAGATCAACAAATCCAAAGTTGATCTTTGCATCTATGTACTTTCTTTTCTGTATCACAATCATGCAACTTAAAAAAAAAAAAAAAAAGTCTAGAACAGGAATTATGGACCCTTTTCTTTAAGGGAATTCCCCCTTCTCCCCCCAAAACAAACCTAGCAATGATGTCTCAACTTGCGAGTAAAATTTGAAGTAGTGTATGCTTTCTTCAATATAAGAGCCCAAAGGTCCTAGTCTTAAGTAAAATGAAATACAAGAATGTAACCACAGTCTGCAGTAAAGCACTTTCAGGTAAGATTACAGCATAATTTGGATGGAAATATCCTCTTTCTTTACGACTTTTAATGAAAGCAGATTAAAAGGAAGTCAGTTCTTGTGTGCTTTGTAGAAACTACATTAATTGATCTTTGATATTTATTGCAGTTAGAAGTGTTTTAATAGATTTAATCTAGATTATAATTGCAGATATGGATTTGAGTTGTGATCTGGGAGTGGCAGGAACCTTCATTACAGAAGAAAAACACCAACAAATAACAAATCTGTAACTAAGGATTATTTGTGGGGAGAAAAAGCCCATGTACCAGTAGCACAGGCTTGAGGTTCATGTGGGCTATATAAAAATGCATTTAGTTCTTTTGTGTGCATTATATTGGATTTTTTTAAATATGGAAAAGAGTGGATAACTACCGTGGATAATGAGAAGCTAACAACAGCTTCTTGATGATGAGAGCAGGGAAGAAAAAAATGCCCCACTTATGAATTCTTAAGTCTTTCCACTGAATAATATAATTTATTATATAAACAAAATAACAACAGCAAGCATAGGTTTGGTTCATTTCACTTTTTCCATGATGATCACTTATATAACAATTTAATTTCCTGGTAACATTATAGCAGGAATCAGAATAAGGCATTCAACTCACAGACTGCACTCTTCAGCTATTACTTCTGTGTATGTGTATCTGGAATGAATCTTGGCTAACATCTACCACGTCAATATTCTATACTTTAAATTCCCATACTGTGCAATTTTAATATATGTATCCTGTATAATATAAATGTAGTTAATTTGGAGATGACTGTGATACTCTGTACACAGAATTCAATACATACAATTGAAAAGATGAAGCATATCAATGCTGAATTGATGTGCATTCAGTATGATTTTTTGCACCACTTTTGGAAAAGTCTCAGTTGAAGTTAATTTTAATAAAATACAAAAATATCTATCAGCAGAAGATTAATACTTCTGCACTGGAAAAAAGGGGCATTTGGGGAAAGGAATCCTCAGCTGAGCAGGTTCCACTGTAAACACAGCCATTACCATACAAATGCAGCTCGCTCTCGTAACATTCTGACACCAAAACGCTGCCATTCTCGCTGATATATCCATAGCTCCTGAGTGGTATCAAGACAGGCTAAAACTGCACCACCTTTCCATGCAATTAAGCGGGGATCCATATCCTAAATTCAAAACAGAGATTGTACACAGTCACCGGTCTAATTTTGCATAGTTCTCAAAAGCTGTATCCTAATTTTTCCAACAGTATTTACCACTTAGAATCTTGGGGGAGAGGGGAGAAGAAAAGTTTTCCAAAATTATTCAGAAAAAGTAGTGAGATAAAGGTATGGAAAGAATATTTAAGATGTTTTGAGAAGTCACTTTTTTTTTTTTTTTAAGATGCATTCTAGGCATATCCTGAAAATCCTGCCTTCAGCAATGGAGGCTCTGAAATATACTCAAGTCTTGATTTTACAAATTTTGCTTCATTAATGCTAAGTGAAAATTGTTCTTGTAATGGCATACTTTCTTTTACCTCAATAATAATAATAAACCCTAGCACAATTTCTTGCTGAGCAGACAGGTTAACTTCATGGGCCAGTTCTGCTTCTTTAAGAACACGGCCTTTACCTAATAAACATTTCAGTGATCACACCACTAGTAACATTCTTAGCTATACCTCTAACTTCTGCCTGTACTGAGTGCTGTTATGAGCTGAAAGTTCTCATAAATCTCAAATATTCAACTAAACTCTGGTTTTGAAAGAGTGTATTTTTTTAATCTTTCAAACATTTCAACCAATCATAGTTTACTAACCGTTTAGCTACCAGTTAACAGTATACCTTAGGTCTTGTGATGACTTCAACATTTTCAACAACTCTTCTGAAAGAAGGTGGCATTTTGTTGAGAATCCGGTGCTGAAGAAACTCTTGCGATTTATGAAACATAAGGCCTCCTCCCACTACTAAGATGGAGCTGTACATCTTCTTTTTTGTATCATCAGATGCTGGAATGAATGGATATATAGAAATATATCTGGTTTTTAAAGTTAATACAGCCTGTATTTGTATTATAAAGGATTTACTGCAGGTCAAACCAGATAGAATTGGGCAAGTGTTTGCTTTTAAAATTATTTTTCTATTCATTTGAGACTCAAAACGTCTAGCTCAAGAAACCTCAACAAAGATGCAGGTGTAAGGAACAGTGTAGCTCCTCTAGAGAGGATAAAACTTAGGGATATACATCTTACTTCAGTAAAATATAGGAGTTACCACAAATTCACACTGACATGCATATTTTACAGATTTGTACAAATGTAATTCTTACCACAGCAGTCAATACTATGAAGAATGGCTTTGTCAAGGCCCAAGGCTTTGCCTTCAAACTGAGAAATAGCTGTTTTCCTGGACATGTGTGCAGTTAAAGGTTCTTCTGAATCATTTCCAGATATCATACAGTCACTCTGGGAAGATCCCAGTTCCACTTCTTGTGGGTAGATCCTCTCTGAAATGTCAGAGGCTTGGCCTCTCAAGTCTCCCTCAAACGCACCAGGTTTTGACATAGATTTTCTATCAGCTGTAGCTTTTGCAGACTTAAAAATGAGAAAACAAGTTGAACTGTTAAAAATGCAAAAAGATCTTCAGCAGGTTAGAGAACAATATAAAGTCTTAACTAAGCATCATTGTACTTCACCTTTATGCACAGAAAGGTTAAGCACCACATCATTACCTCATAGAAGTTTCAATTCCCAAAGTAAGGGTTTTATCAATACCGTAATATGAAGCCCTCTTAAGACTCTGAAAATACACAGTTCTAATTAAAGACTTGTCTAGACATCCATAATTCCTTACTCTAAACTGAATCTTTAATGCTTCTGACCCAGGTACCAAACTTTAGTTTCTGAAATGAGCTAATGAGTGCTCATTTTATTCCCCAATTAAATAATACTTAACGAAAAATAAAAGGAGCATTCACACACCTGCTCTTGCTTACTTTGTGTGGCTAGCAGATAATGCTCATCATGAGGATCCTCAGGGTCACCTTGTGACCTGTGTTGCAAAGTTGTCATTTTTTGTCCAACAATTCCAAAAGTTGCTGGATAAAACAGAGCCATTGGAGCCTGAAAAATGAGAGATTTGGCATGGTTTTACTACATAGTTTGGGTTTTTTTTTTGGCATTTACTGTTAAAAAAAAAAAAAAAGACAAACCTTGTTCTATTTTTCTCAAAATTCAAAATTAAATATACATTTTTTTTTCCAAATAGTTTTATAAACCATTAAAGTGTCCTCAGCTTTGTGTAATTTAAAAAAATTCCAACAAATACACTTGTACATGTATATAAGTTTCCTTGCAGATTCTGGCATTGTATGATAAGTACTCAAATGCAGTTCATTACAAAATTAGAAAATTCAATGGTGAGCTGAAGAACTTGCTAAATTAGCATTCATTCCTTGCACTTGAAGGATAACTATCACATTCAGTTGAAGCTAGAACCATTCTGGCTAAAGCTAGTTAGGAAGTCTTGTGCATCTACTAGTGCTGCATTAGGCCCATTCATATATATAGTAATTAATTTTAAAACTATCAACAAGCATATGTTAAGAACAATTCCTAAGTCATGTGGGCTTAGTAGCACCAGGCTGATGCAAAGTGAGGTGCTGAGCTTGAATATACTACTTGTAATTTAATAATTTAAAAAAAAAAAAAAAATCACCTGTAATTTTTCATCCCCTAATCGGAACTGGTATAGTAAAGCTGGAGAATCCGGATGCCGGATTTGGAACTCATGATCTTGCAATCCAGAAATATCCTAAGGTCAAAACCAATGCAAACAAAAAATTGTATCTCTCATATCTGTCAAACTGCGTAATTCATTTAAACTGTAGGAAACAACAAAAAGTAACAAAACTCTTCAGACTATTAATTCCATTTACCTATTCTTGAATTCTTTTGTAATATTTCTCCCTGTAGCATGATCTGACAAAACAGTTTTCCACACGCCTAAGCCTCTAAAATGAGAGTCTATGCAAAAAGAAGAGACCTGCTGGCAGATCTTACAAAACTGAAGTTGAAAAATGGCAAATATGCAGCTACTGGCAGCTTCTTTCAGTAATAACAAAGAAACTACCTTTCTAAGAGTTGGAATTCCTTTTGACTAGAAGAAAAATAAAACAAGTTATAAATACTCCAAGTCCAAAGCTTCTTCAGCTGTTGTCACTTCAGCTGTTGTTCTACTGAATAAAATATTCTATTTATTCCATTTACAAGCAATTGTGGACTCACAAAAAGGTTTCCCAGAGTAGCATTCAGCAAAGGAAAAATAAATTACTTGGAGAACACACTATATTTTCCTTCTCACCTGGTCTAGATGACAAAATGTCTCCTTTAGGTGCTGAAGCAGCAGGCAATCCAACTTATTAGTTAACTGACAGTCTCTATATGGGAATCCTGCTCGCTGCATAAGCCAATAAAAACACCTGGACACATCAGATCCCCCATATGCAAGGCACAGCCTAAAGCACAGAGAAGAAAAAGATTATTTTGTTTATTTGCTGAAATACTAGCCTATACAGTAGCACACACAGGAATACAAGGAACGTTTCAGACATGCTGTGATCATGACTTCCACATAGTTTGCAGAGCACAGTATCAGTTCTGCCCATTTTCTTCTTTTAAAGAAGTCAGAATTCTTTAAGGTTCATATTGTAACAAGATGACCCTGTTACATGGCTTGCAGTAAAAAACCCCTGTATGTATGGAAAATTTTCCTCATTTTCAAAATCAAGTCCTTGGTAAGCAACTAAATACATGCTGATAATAATTCTGCATATTAAAAGATACCTGGTGTTGCGATGGGAAACACCATCTTCTACGCAGCAAACACTTGTCTTCTGATCTCCCACATCTACTATACACGCACTGCTTAAACCACTTCCAAACGTAGCACAGACAGACTCCTGGTGTACAACAATTCCTAGCAATATGAGAAAAAAGTTATATCCAATTTATGCTAAGCTCCAGAGCCACGTTGCTGACATTTAAATGACATCTTAATGTCTTCTAAGATCTACTAATAGTCTGACTCTGCACTGAAAGTCTGTATACTTAGTGAAGATGGGGGGGGTTACAGAATTTTTGTTGGGCAAGCCCTTAAAGTCCTGAAGAAAGCTAAGAGCAGTGTGAATGCCTATACTCAAATGTTCTTATTTTTGCAAGAAGTCTAAGAATCATAATGCTCCATAGAGTTAACACTGTGCATTTTAGAAATATTTGAGAAATCAGACTGTTGCTACTTTTGTCTCAGCTGAAGTGAGAAGCCCATGGCTAGAATATATAATAGCAAACCAAAAAACTTGTTTCGATGCGAGCCACCCATTTTGTCCCATTAAAAGAGACAACGGTTATGGGAATAGCAAAAGATGAAAGGTGCTAGTCCCAGACAAACTGGGATTGATGTGAAAAAATGTGCCTTAAATGAAAAAAAACTATCTTTATGCTATTAATCAGTAAGTGCTTGCTTATGTATGGTTTTACCTGAGAAGCCCATCTTCATTAGGATCATATTTACCAGTTCTTTCACGTGTTGTTTGTTATAGATGTCTGGAATTAGTAAAATGCACCTGTAGTACTGAAGATAAGAACAGTGAATTGAAGCCAACTCTCAAAGTTTCAGGAATGTAAGTTTCTCTTTACATTCCTGAGTGCCTGGTGCTAAGGAAGAAAGCATAATACACAAGTTATTAAAAGAAACAAAATCATGGAAAGTGGGAAGGTTTTTAATACTTAAAAAAATTAGTTCAAGTAAGTACCAAATTAAGAGTTTATAGGAGACTAAAATGTTTAAAAGTACATCAGATACAAGAAAAACACCTACTTGGCAAGGACAAGAAATTATGCAAGTATTAGGCAACCATTCCACAGTTGCCTCCTTTACAGCCAACAAAAAAAACCCAAACAAACAGACTAAGACTGTAAAATTTCTAGAATGGGATCTCCAAACCTTCTTGTTAGAAGTTCTATTAACAATTTTTGTCTTAAAGACATGGCAAAATTCCAAATGAAGTCTTAGGAACCATGCTCACCAGCAGAAGGAATTTAATTTTAAATTAATTTAATTTAATTTGTTAGGAAAACCACCAGTAAGAAGCTACCAATAACAGCAGGTTGCTTGTCTTTTATAGTAATATTTACAGAAGGGGATACAGCCCACATTACTGTGTTCACAGCTCACCTTTAGGTCTTTCAGTGGTATTTCCAGATATTTTTGTATTGCATGTGACCATATAACTTCAAGGTCTGCTAATACTGCAGTGAGGGAGCCACCAGGTCCTGTGTGGAGATTCAACTGCCCTCTTCTAATAGGCCAATGTATATTATAAGAATCTAGTGGATTAACATACAGTGCCTGAAAATAAGAAATGATATTCTATACATTGCTTTTCCCAAAAGATTAGTAACAAATACTAGAAAAATATTTCAGAAGGGGACACAACAAGACATGCAGCAGCACTCAGGCCAATGTGACAGCAATACAGTGGATTTCTTTTTAACAGCTTTAAAATTAAAAAAGACGTTAAATACATGGTTTAAATTGTTTGGATTTTCATAACCATGGACATCTACCAAACATAACAGTGTATTTTTCCATGATCTCAAATTAGTAACTAGAATAATTTTAAGATTCTTTGAAGCTCATGAATACCAAATTACTCAGCAGTGATTCCATGCACTGATCCTTTTATCAGTTTCCTGCGTCTTCTCTGAATTATACCACATGGACAAAGTTCTCACCTAGTCCCCGCAGAAACACTGATTTATAGCAGCAGAGAATCCAGGATACTTGTTAGGCAAGTGGGGGAAACTGTCTGGTCTTGCTGAACGATAGTAAATATTCAGTTAGTCCATAGCAAAGCTTCTCATGTATTGCTTGACTAAATTTATATGTCTTTCAGTACATACTAACATATAGCAAACTGCTACTGATTACACAGCTGCATTAAAACACAATACAAAGTGTCATTTCAGTGGGAAAATCTTACCTCTTCTCCTACCAAAAATTCAGGATGATTTGCTGTGTTTGTCCACTTGGCCCCAGAGCTGTGATCTAAAATAGCTGGCCGCATCTGTCTGTTGTATGACCTGGCCTGAAATGTAATCAAAACAAAAGATGTTGATAAATATTTTATCAGTCACTTTTTATGCATTTAAGAAAAAAGAAACACCCTCTGACCCCAGTCCTCAAAGAACCATTTTAAATCTTCATTTCCTCAGATCTTCAGAATTAGGTCACACAATAGCACTACCCATATCTGGTGTGTAAAGGATATCTATTCTTGTCCACTAAAACATAGCATCACAACAAATGACTGTATGAATAAACAACTTAATAAAAAACTTAAGAATGAGTTACCTGATCAGGTGACACTGGTATACGCCTTGCGCCATTTGACATCTTTTTGGACCATATTGCTTGGTCCACCATTTTAAGGCCATTTTGTCTCTGCTCGGTACTTTCAGGTTTCTAAACAAAACCCACAAATATGCAACGTAAATACTTACTCTCTAACTATGTGTCTGTCTGCTGGTAATACTGAAGCTATTACTAAACAATGCAATCATTACTATAGTTGATAGACTGAAGGTTTGCATATTGTACAATGAACATATGCTTATTTTTAAAGAAAATTGTTTACATTAGAGTTCCCAACATTTATCTAAGGCAACTTGAGTCTTTTGAATGATTGTAATGGCTGCTGGACTTCATCTCCAGAGTGATGAGCTCTGGACATTATCAATTTAACTACAGCAATACTAAGTAGGAGCAAAAGTGTTTAAATAGATCTCAATTATGTGAAGGTGAGGTTTAATATTAGAGGCATTAGTCTGATTAATGATTTTTTGGACAGAGTCATATTACTAAAAAAATCACTACATATATTTTTTGAGTAGGTTGGACTAGAATTACTTACTAGGTTATCCAAGCAGTCCAATTCTAGTTCTACAGTTGGCATTCCATAAACAGAAATACAGTGTGAGATATCAGACCACAGAGCAGTGGAATCAATGCATGCAAACCCTCAACCTACCAACTGATTAGATTTAGTTCACTGTGAACAGATCAAAAAAAAAAAAAGCAAGCAAGGACTCGTGCCAATCTATTAAGTAAGGTGACATCTACAGCACATTAAATGGGAAAAAAGTTTGCCTTGCGAAGCAGTCTTCTCTGGAAAAAAAATGTAACGCGTGATGGGAAGATACACATTACACAAGTGAAAAAGGCCACAGAAATACGTAGTTAACCCCCCCCCCCCCGCAGGTGCGCGGCGCAGCTTACGTTGAGCCCGTCCCTCAGGAGCCAGCTGTCCCGGTAGGCCGCCTGTCCCTGCTGCTTGTGTCGCCGCGCGATGACATGCGGAATGCCCACGGGCAGCGTGTCCGTGGCCCTCCCGAGCCGCAGAGTCGTCGAGCCGGGGTGTATCACCACGATGAAGTTGCTCTGTATTTGCTGAAAGCACCACAAGGCGCGCGGGAGTGGGCAGGGGTCCCCGCGGCCCCCGCCCCCCCCCCCGCAGCCGTTCGCCCGGCCGGCGGGAAGGGAGCGGCCGCCGCCCCGGCCCTGCCCCTCACCGCCGGCCGGGCCTCACCTCCTGCAGGGACTCGGGCACGGCGGCGGGGACGATGGGCCGCTTGACGCCGCGCTGCTCGCGCTCCCGGTCGCGCTCCTTGTCCTTCCCGTTCTCCGCCTCGCCTTTCTCCGCCTGGGTCATGCTCCCCGCCGGCCGAGCGGCGCCGGGCGGAAGCGGCACCGAGCCCGGCCTCCGCGTGGGGCGGAAGTGGGCGGGCCCGCGCCCGGCACCGCCCCTCAGGCGGGCCCGGCGGGGGAGCACGGCCCCGGCCCCGGGGAAACGGGCAACGTTCAGCAGAGAGAGCCTGGGGAGCGCCTGTGCCGCTGCGGGATGCCTCACCCAGCAACGGCCGAGCCCCGCCAGCCGGCGCTGTTCCTGCAGGGGAGGCGGCAGGAAGGGTAGTACAGTCCCCCGAACAACTTCAAAATATAAATAAATGATAGTACAGCTGATATACCTGTGAGGAACTAACGATGACCTACCTGCTTCCACACTCCGGATCTGTGGGCGGGAAGTTCCTTTACGAAGATACAATGTTTGAGGGGAGTTGAGGAAGATGTGTTTGTCAGACTGAAGGCTGCTGTTATACAGCAAGTTTAAAATATAGTAATTTTGTGTTGGGTACATGGAGCAAGAGCCACTGAAGGAGGGGATTTCACCATAGCTGCCTAGCAAAAGCCAGCTCATTAGTAGATGCTTCTGTTAGCCAAGGGGCAGTGTGGGATATTGTAATTTCTTGCTAAGGAGATTATTGGAGAGGTTTAAGTAAAAAATGTGCAGTGGCACCTTGTAGAAGATACTTTAATCTGGATTCTTGGCAGCTAATCTTTTCTCAAATAGATGCAGCTCTCTCCTACTGAACAGAAAAAAATCAAACCCCAAACAAAACCCAAGAACAGAAACTCTCATCCTGAAATGGGTAAGTTAGTTAAAAGGTAGTTACTCCATGAAAGAAAGTAACTCTTCTGTGTTAGCACTCGGTATTTCAGTTCACTACCTTTTTTTTCAGGTAATAAAAATGAAGTCTAATTTTATTGGAAAATGTCTTATCAAAATTTGTAAAACAAATAGGCTTGCACATTTGAGTAAGTTTATAGTGGAAAAGGAAGCTGTTTCAAAAGGTACTTACAAAACAGACATGTTATAAAACCCATTATAGGCCTTTACGGAAGCGAGTTTGTAAAAGGCAAGGACTGTAAAACAAAGTAATTTGTAAATTACATTTTAAAAGTGTTTTTAAAGTATCATCAATACCATGAAAATACGGCAGAGCACAGAATGTCAGTGCTGACAAAAATAAATACAAAACCTACTAGGAAGCACTGCTTTGACTCTTGAGGGACCTTCTGTATCAAATATAAATACGTATTCTTCCTTATTTGAACAGAAAAGGGCTTACTGTGTTTCAGACATTTTGTTTTCCTAAAAATGATGAGAAAGCCTTGTGACAAGCCAAATACAATTTACTTATTACTTGCAACTACAGTAAAATGTTCAGAAACTATACAAAGACTTTAGACAGTAAACATGTATTTAATAAAACTGTGGCTCAGTTACACCGGATCCTTGAAGAAGGAGTTCCCAGTACAACTTCATTAATCTGCTTTGATCACAGAACAGTTTCCAGTTAGACACACACATTCACAACATTCAGATTCATTTGGTCCACCACTGAAGTCTCCTTCCCTTTCATCTTGCAAATGTGTATGCTTTTGCCTGCCTCTTCAGCAGGCGTTTACCTAAAAGATGAAGTAATTACATTTAAAGACAACAAGACCTTTCTTTGAGAAATAAAATTATGTAACAACTTTAAAATATTTAAATTTATCTAAATGAGACATTCTCAAGGCTGGCAAACTTCTATTCCTGAGCAGATTACACATTGCCATAACCCAAAAGCCCTCCCCACAGCCTTTGCTGGCCTCATATCTAGACAAAATTAAAAAACAAAACCACAAATGAAAAAAGAAAAAAAAATCATGGGAAGTTTATCCTTCTAGGGATACAGTGGTGTATGTGCTTTTTGGAATATGATCTTTTTTCTACAAGATTTACAGGTATTAACCACACGCATGGTTTATTTCTTGTAACTTTTGTTATGGTAACAATGGGGAGTGATTCATGAAAAAGAAGGATTGTTTACTTAAGTCTTAAAGTAAATTAAACCTATATATACATTCAGTGTTAGATGAAATTCCCACCAGCCAAACTAATTAATAAAACAGAATTAAAGTTCAGGCAGCTGTAAAAAATTTAAAGACCAGGACTTTTAAAATGTTTTTTTGCCCCCCTTTCTAAGCAGTTCTGATTTTTATGCTATACTAAGAATTCAAGATTTGCATAGTTATAGCACTGTAACAGGAAAAAAGGTTCTTACTAATAGTCTTGTAACAAATTAATTATTTTTCCTTCTATTGAGAAGTATCTACTTAAAACAAAAAAACCTCATGTGTCCTATGATAACTATTAGAAATGCAAACAAAGTTTCAGTCACTACTGATCTGGACTTTTAATCTCTTTTGGCTGCTAATATAAAGTTATAGGGTTTTTTTATCAGCTGTGTTCAAAAAGCTTTGCTAAACTTCGTATATCCACTTCTATGCAATTAAAAGTAGAAGATTACCATTTCTGAGCCAAAACCTTTTAACACACGCTCCTGCTCCCTTTTTCCCCACCTTTACAGAAGGTATGTAACTACTTTGATTCTCTTCCAGTTTTGGTAACTTTTGCAAAAGGAGGACATAACACTCCATTATACCTTAACCTTCAATTATCATTGTTATTTAAAAAAAAAAAAAAAAAAAATCAAAGCAGGATACAGCAGATTTGGAGTTACCTTCCTCATCCACCACCAGCCATTGGTGGTGGACTGGGGCCTCCACCCCAGTTATTTATTCGACCCATCCTACGACGAGGATGTGCTGGAGGCCTGAAAGGCAAGCAAGGAAAACAACATCTATTCAATTGGCATTAAATTGTCAAACTAGAAATATAGTAACATCGCTCTAAATGATAATAATTAAAAAGTTAGAACCTCTGGAAAAGTTGTTTGGGTTTCATGTGAAAAGCTGTAAAAAAAAACCCCAACCCTGCTTTCACAAAAATTCTCTTATGAAAACTCTTCCAATTACTCCTGTCTCACAGGAGTAAGCTATAGCTAACTGAGGCTTTTACATGGTCCTACAAAAAAGTTAGGGAAACCATTAAGAACAAAGAAACACAGCAACTACAGTGTTTATACAAATTATATCCCTATAACAACATGTTTTACTTTATCTGTAGGTAATCTAATACATGAAATGACGAATTTAATGTCAATCAAATGTTGAGTATAAGCAAGTCTAAGAAAAAAATTTCAGCAAAGATGCACATTGTCTATTAGGCAGGTTTGAGAAATAGTTAGACTGTACTGTTATTACAGCTGTCCAAAGCTACGTATTTTTATCAATGAATTTCAGACAAAATACTGCAGATAAACAACACTTTAGGCTTTTTACATTACCCGATTCAATTAAAATCACAAGTGTAATTTGAATACATTATGTCTTTTTGGTAAGATAAGGAAAAAAGAAATCAGAACTAATATGAATATGAAAAAAATACCCTCTTCCATCATTGTATCCTGAATAGGAAGAAGATGCGTAGCCTCTTCTTCTCAAATCTGGCTGAATAATGCTCTGGAAACTGAACAATAAAACAAGAGTTAGTGAATTGGTTGCTAGGATTACTTTCTGTATTTTTGGATTGCAAACGGCCTGAAAACCAGCAAGTAGTGATCAGGAATAAACAGCGTATCTTCTCAAGATCACTGTTGCTCAATAAATTTTGGCAATTTTTCTTCTACATATGAAGATAAAATCTGAAGTAATTGCAAATTACAGTGAGGCTCAAATTATAAAATCTAATTTTCGGGTAAATATGCAATAAATATGCCATAAGTGCATAAAGTATAAACCTGTCACTGAAATAATGAAGGACTGTTGAAAACTTCAAGAGAACTTTTTGTTTCTTACCTGGCTTTGATCTGGGGCCATAAATTTGGGATTATTGCTGTGTGATTATTTTTATGTAGCCAGAATCTATCGTCACCAGTACAAATTATCCAAATATCTTAATTATTTAATCAGCTATTTGAAATTGTTAAACAAAAGTACATGCTTTTTCTTTTTGCAATATTAAAATGGAAGAAATGTAAGAAAACTCATCTGAACTGCCAGTAAGTTAGCATCACTTTATGTATGCTTTTCTTTTTATTAAATATACTATAGTGCTTAATAAACAAAGCCACAGTCATAGTAAAGCATTCATGTATGTTTTGGGGACAGTAGATATGGAATGCTGAAGAGTAAATTTAACATTTTTACTGTTGTGTTACTGATAGCACCGAGCAGTTTCTACCTATGGCAAGTCTAGAACAAAGCTCACCAAAACAATTAATTTCTACTTACAACAGAACCACAAAATCTGCTATCGACCAGAAGAAATCTGTTATAGATGACAAACGCCAAGGAGCCCGACTCTGGCTATCCAAAACTTGTCCTGTAACATATCAAAACACCCAGCGGTGTTCAGTGACACTACAGTAGATGACACAAAACCGTATCTGCTGAATCTAGGATTCTCAACAGGATGGAGAAATTACACACCACGAGCAGCGGTAGCAAGTTTCATTCCCTACAGGGTACCGTCCAAGCACCTGAAACGATCGGATCACCGCCGGACACTGTCCGGGGAAACCTACAAAAAGACACCAGTGCGGTCTCCGTTTCTCTGGATGTGGTTAAGCTGCTTCTCTGTTACACCCCCGATGTATGCAGAGCGCACTGGGACTTTTCAAAGTCCTTAAAGACGGTTTAGCCGCACGTAAGGCTCCAGCCTAGGCCGCAGGGTTGCTGTAGCAGCGGGCCAGACGTGCGCGGCTCCCCGGGGCAGCGGTGGGGCGCGGAGCCGGCGCTCTGCCCAGCGCAGGCCCGATACCCCCCCGGCCGCCGCCCCCCGCTCGCTGCACGGGCTCCAGCCTGTCTCCCGCCGCCCCGCTGAGCGGAAAACGGCGCGACCCGCATCCCACCGGCCGCCCCTCACCGTTGGAGATGTACACCATGGCGGCGGGCCGCGGACGCTGCCCCGTCACCCGCTCTCGGCCCCACTGCGCGGGCGCGGGCGGCGGGCGCATGCCCAGAAGGGGCGGTTGAAGGCGGTGCCCTGCTGTGGTACCGGGTCTTCGCTTCCGGATGCTGGGGGCGGAGGGGAAGGGAATGGCGGTCGCGGGCCGAGCCGGATGGCGATTGTGTTCCTGGCTCCCTCGCCACAGCCTCGTGCAGCGCCCCGTTACCGCGCGGTCCCCCTCAGCAGCCCCGCTGTGGGGCTGGACGCCGGGGGCGGGCGGGCGGTGTTCAGGTGGGGCGTCTTCTCCCTCAGAGCGAGTGGTTGTGGTTCACTCCTAAAACGCATTTATTTTAGTAGTTACACCGCTGTGGAATGGAGCTTCGGTGCTGTGCCTGATAAGCGTACGGTTTCTTATTACTGTTGGTAAAACAATAACCGTAGTTGGTAGCATGCCAGTGTAGCTTCCATAAAAATTAAATGTTCTTAGTAGTCTTCCATAGTTAACTTCTGCAGGATCATACATAAAAACTAGTGCTTTTGTCCTTTTATCACTGCCTCAGTTTTCTCTGGTGGTTGAAGAGAGCCTCGTCCATCCCTTTTTGTTTGGTTGGTTTTTGTTTTGGGTTTTTTGTTTGTTTGTTTTTCTGATGGAATATTGAAAGTGAAAACTCACTATAGTCATGTTAGAAATAATGATCAAATGCAGGTATTTAAAACTCTCCATAGGGAGCTTTTGTTCTATTCATGTAATGACAGGTATGTGGCTCTCTACATTCCCATTACATTGGTGGGCATATTCAGCCCGAAGTTGAGAATTTGCTTTAATTTATTTTTATAAAAACTTTGTCCTGTAAACAGCGGCTAGCATTTCTTCTAATGGAGAATCCATGTATGTAAAATTGGAGGTAAGTATATAGCTATATAGGCAAATTTAGTACAATGCCTGCTTTTACTTATATATATAAAAAAAAAAAAAAAAAACCAACAAAACCAAACCCAAACCTAATCTAGTAGAGAAGGGATGTGTAATTCTGCTGGGACGCAGCAGTAAGAAAAATGAATATAACAACACTTTAATACTGCTTTTGTGAGACCTGTTTTTTCCTAATAACAATGAAGTAAAGTCTTTTGCTGAACACAGGGGTGTTGCCTGAAGTTGAAATTGTAATATATGTCTCTGACAATGTAGCTGTCCCCTAGTAAACTATTTGCAGCTGGCTGGTGTTTAGAAATGTTTTGTATTCCCGAAATAAACTCATGCAAACAACTGAAAGCAATTGTGAAAGAAAAGTATCTGTAATGATGTATACAAAATAAATGTTTATAATTAATACAAGAGTTAGGTAATATACCACTCCAAAAATGGAGAAATACAAGAGTGTTTATAAAGTAGTGGGTGCTACACGGTGCATAATGGGCATAAATGCAGGTAATATGTTAAAATTATTCAGGGACATCTATTCTTTTTCTTAATTAGCTATGATTATTATGATTTTTTCAAATAATTGTGAAGTGTAGTCAGATCAGTTTCAGTTTACAAATGGCAAAACACAGCCTACATAGGTATAGAAGAAAAACAGAGATTCAGTCAGTAAGTCATTTGAACATTGTTTTTAGATTCTCAGTGAAACCAGATAAATGGAACAATAAACTGGAAGAAAGACATATTGGTGTACGTTTATGGAATGCATAGTAGAGTTGATATTGTGTGTTAGGTGATACTGTTACATAAATAAGTTACACAGAAAGTGAAAACATTACTTGAAAAAGGTGTTGCCAAGTAATAGGAAAATAACAGTACTCAAGGAAAGTATATGACAAATGCATACCTTTGTATTACTATGCTAAAATGTGAAAATTACAGTCTTGTTTTTAAATTTTTTTCATAAATAAACTTTGTTTTCTTTTCACTAGGCTTTGAGATAGTAAATTATCTTATGTTTAAAGAACTATTGCACAAGTTGTAGATACAACATTTACCAAGAAGAAAACAGAGAGGATGGCAATGGAAAGATAAAGGCAGTAACTAGAGATAAAGGAGGTATTGTAAATTTTGTGATGTATTGAAAACACACACAGACTGACTCTTGCCAGTATAAAAAACATCACAGATCAAAGTTTTCACTGTACTTTAGGCAGAAACATAGCAGTGAACCTGAATGCGAGCAGGTAATTATTGCACCTGAACTCATGATCTGTATGCAGTTGATGTCTTGCATGAATTAATGTCATAGAAGTTTGAACAATTCATTCCTTTTTTTAATGTATTATCTTTCAGAGGGAATGTGTTAATCATGCAGAAAGGAACAATATATTTTTTGTTTTTCAAATAAAAACACCACCACCATCCAAACAAAGATGATTAGTGGGTTCTTAAGTTTAGTTTTGTTTTTTTTTTAAAGTAAAACCATATGTGATGTAATTTTTTTTTTTCTTAGTAAAATCATATGAGATTTAGCAGGTCTGTTTAAAAATCAGTGGTAGCATTGCATTATCAAACTTGTTATTCATCAGCCTGTCCTCGGGTCAGGAATAGAGAAGAGGAATAGGAAAACAGTTATTCCTGTGCATTTGCAGTTTATGGCATAGTTAGGACGGCGGTAGACATAAGCTCTGGTGGCAGCTCACTTCTGGCAGGGCCCCAGCCCTGGCACCCCGCTGAGCCGCAGCTCCCTCCCAGAGGGCAGGCTGCTGGCTCAGTGACCCGCACCTTTGCTTTCAGCCTGTGCTCCTGACACTGGGAAGTTCAGAGGAGCCCAGCAGCGGTGCACCTGCACTTAATGAAAACCAGCTGAAGGTGGCGTTTTGAAAGTCAGCAACAGAAGTACAAAACAGCTGGGTTGCCCTTCTGAAGGTGGGTACTGTGAGGAACAGAGCTGGGCAGTCACTGCTCCATAAGAGCCAGAAGTTAACATAGATGCTATTTGGAAACTGTGGAGATGTGATCATTTGATGTTAGGCAAAGTAAATATCTGTACAATGCCATGAAGAGTAATGTAGGCCATATATTGAGAAGTAATTGAAAAAGACCAATACTAAGTGGGCTTTTTTTTTTTTTTTTTTTATTTTAATGCAGTCTGAACTCTCACTGGGATACATTCTGTTTTTATGTGGTTTGATTTTTTTAGGCTCTGTTCTGGATGTAGATTTGTATAGTTTAATTTCTTGAGGATTGTGTATTTACATATCAATATATAAGTACTGGTGTCTGAGCAACACATTGCTGTAGTATTTTTGTCTATTTTTTCATCAAAAGTAGTAAAACTAAGCTATTTTATAGTATTTTGTATGCTAAGGGATGACCTTTTAGTTGTGATGCAGGAGAATTAGAAAATTGTGTGCATAGAGAAGTGGTGATACAGCATGAAAAGGGTTTGTACTCTCTAAAATTTATGCTACATTTTTAAAATGAATATAAGCTTTTTAAGTTAAAATGATTTTGAATTAAGAACTAAGCAGGGGAAACTTGACGCTGAAGAGGATTTGCAAACTATTGACCACATTTGAATAGCAGAAATAGAAAAGGCATCTTTTTTTTTTTTTTTTTTTTTGCTGTTCCATAGGTTTTTTTGCATATCATGTTTCACCATCATATAATTTAAGTTTTGAATGTTTCCATTTGTTTTAGACTTTAATTACTCATAGAAGAGCTGGTTGTCATGTAGTATTTGTCTTATGCACACACAATTAATACTCGATCTATTAGAGAAGGTGCGGTGGAGCAATTCTTCCCCCCTTGCCTCTTGCTGGGCCACTTGGTGTGATTCCAACCCCCCTCTTGGGCCACATCCCAACCAGGAGGGATGATAAGCACTGCGAATGGCAGGGAACCAGAGAGTTGAGGCACCCCTTTGATGAGCCTGGCTCCTACTCTCCGTGACTCTTGGAAACGGTTACACCAGCCCATCACCTCCTGCTGGCCTGGTACACCCGTACCTGGGGTGTGGTCGAAGGAGAACAGTAACAGAATTGCACATCCATGAAGTTCTTTTGCAGCTGGTGGAAGACACCAAAATACTTCACTGTTCACGCTGGGCTGGAGTGAAAAGTACCCGACGAAAGTCAGTTATCTCAGACCCTATAAATAGTGACTCCAAGTGAGACCCTTTGAGCTCTCCTGGATCCCTGTGGGCCTGTGACCAGCATCTCCCCTGAGCGGGGACCCCTCCCAGGTACCAAAAACCTTAAGGTGTCATCCACTGTTAGAGCCAACGGGAGGCTGGGACGAAGTTGATCTGCTCGAGTCTCAGCTATTGCCCGTTGAGGAATGCTGATGAATTGTGAGTATTTACTCCAAACTCGAGAAAAGGGAAATGTTAACTTTGAGCTAGCTTGTCTTTCGCCCACTCTCTCTCTCTCTGCTTACTGATGTATTTGGATATACACAGTTATTTTCATGAGTGTGGGTACATACTTACTCCACTGGATTAAAATAATTTTGTCTGTGTGTGTTTGTATGTCTTATGTTTGTGAATATGCGTGTATATATGCATTGATTTAAGATACCATATAGTAAGTCAGTGTGAGTCTTGTAATCTTCGAATCTGTCATTAAGTCGCTATTTTAATTATAACGTATTTTACTGAATTATTTTGTAAATCTTTAAATTGGTTAATGATTAAATGCTGCTAGTCATTAATGAATGTTGATTTGCTGCTAAATCATTACCATGTTAACACTTTCATCTGTGATAGAGAGGGTCTTCTAAACTACAGATTACAAATGCAGAATGTTCATTGCAACATAAACATAAAATTTGGGGATATTCCACAGAATTCTGTTTTGTAACAGCTTTTACAGGAAAACTTAAAATAAGTTGCAGTTTGTGGAAGAGATGGAACTCAAGTCTTGGAACTGAATTATGATGTCAGAATTTTAAACAGAACTTACCTGTTTAAGCAAGCTTCAGTTCTGAATAATTGATTGAAGACCTATGTATTTTTTATTTTTTTTTAGTCTTTAGTGCCCCGGATAACGATATATTCATGTACTGTGGGATTTGAGTTAAAGATACCTTGTCCAGTTTTCAGCTGGA